CACACACACACACACGCAGAAACCCACATTCATGTACACACCCTAAGGATAAACAATAATTATCAGAGTAAGTACAATGTAATTAGAATTAATTGAAAGTGGGGGAAGATACGTTTTCCTAAAAGCATAATTATTTACCCACAATGTCCCCACCCAAATGAGGATAGCTTGTATATTATTATGCAGAACTGTTTTAATTACACTTTTTTTTTAATCTATTTAGCTTTCTTTTCTCTACTCCTTACTGGGCCTTAACTACATTTAGAAAGGGGCTGATTATACCATTCCTCTCCGTCAAATAGTAGCAACTCTCCTTTGACTTTATAAGCATGCCCTGTGGGAAGCAGGTAGCCACTCAAATGGGGTAACTGGGGAAAATTTAATGAAGGAACTGTTACAGAGGAGTGGACAGGGTTAATGTAAACAAACAGTGGGGCCTGGCTAGTGATGGTCCAGAGCCTGAAAGTTGACAGAGATGGGAGCAGTTAATACAACCAGAGAAAGTGGCTGTAGGACAGTGGCACTCGGTACAAACTGTGGCTTTGGAAACCAAGGGAACCAATTTTGAGTAGATTGCGAGGATGAAATCTGGTGGAATAAATACCCTCATCTCTCTCTCTTCCTTTGTTAACTTTTTTTCCTTCCTTTGTGTGCCCCAAAACACCTTTGGCCAAAGCCAGCCAGAAGCCAATGGACAAGGCTGCCACTAATAAATATCTTATATGGTCAGATCTCTGGGTATAAAGCAGGTTAAAGAAAGGCGGAAAAAAAAAAGGAGCAGATGGAAAAGATCTCCTTAACTCATAGTTCAAGGTTATAAAAGTGGGTTGATCTCCCCTTCTCATAATCACATTAAAATGGTAGAAATTAATTTTAGAAGCCCCAATTCCTAATCAAAAACAAAAGAAGAGGCTGGTCCATGGATGAGAGATCTCAACTCGTTTATGGTAGAGTCAGTGGACAAAGACTGAAAGATGGAGAAACTGAGGGTGCGGCGCAGGGAGCAGGAAGTGGGTGGCGAGAGATGAGGAAGCTTGTCTCCCCAGGAATGCTCTTTAGAACCATGGTGGCTGGTCTGATGGAGGGCGGGAGTGAGGAGTGGGATGGAAAAAATGTATACAGGTTATTTAAAGTCTGTAAATAACCAGGAGAGGCATAAAAATAGTGATATAGTTGTAAAACGTTGAAAGGTGGTGCAAAATAAATACTCAGCCGTTATAGCGGAAGTTCGATAGATAATGTCGAATGTTAATAAATCAGGAAGAAATGACATAAATGTATTACTTATCGATTTGGAGGTAACCACAGAAGAACTAAATGCACAAAGAGTTCAGAATGTTCTGGGAGGAGGAGGACAGGGAATGGGCTGTAGGTCAGTTGATTCTCACTGTAGGAAGTCTTTCTGCACTAAAAATTGTTTAAAAACCGTGTGAATATAGAATTTTCATAGAAGTGCCCCTTTTTTCCCCTTTTGTTTTGCTCCACTTAGTTTGCTGGATTTCTAGAAATTTTCGTCTTCATACAGGTAGGTCCATTATGTGTCTCAAAACTAAAAACTAATTCAGTTTTCTCCTGTGCTTCTTTCTCTCCACATTCCTTACAGCCCTCTTGTGCTCGTCCCCAGCCCCCAGAAGTGCGCTGGCACGAGCCTTATACACAACTCTGCCCCCGAACGCGGTGTCTTTCTCTGTGAAGCCCACAAACCCTTCCATCTCAGTGCCTTTTCTCAAACTATTTCCTTGACCTGAAATGGCTTCAGCCTTTAAAAAAAAAAGAAACCGCCCTATTCAGCCTTCAAGTCCCAGAATAAAATCTGCCTTCTCCAGGAACTGTCTTTGGTTTCCAGAGTTAAAAGTGATTACGCTGTCTTCTGTCCTCTCCCAATACTGCACCAATGTCCGACGATTCTTACTCTGTAGGGTCTCATAACTAGTTGTGTAGCTGTCTAACGCCTCTTCTTTCTGTGTAGTTGTAAGTTCCAGAATTTGTATCTGTGTATCAAGTGCAGTATCTTATGCATAACGATTCAAATAGTTGCAAAGCACCATGGTGGGTTTCTGTTGTTCTGGTTGACTCCGAAGGATCTAAGATGATGAAGTGAACCGCCTCCGTGTTAAAGTGAACACCAGCTGTCCTTAGGTTGAGGTGCCTATTGACACTTGTGCTGCTCAGCAAAATCACCAAGTAGACAATGTTTTGTCCTGTCTTCACCGTAGTGCCTCTTCTCTAAATGCCAGTTAGACACATATTACCTCCGGTTATGAGGAATAAGACATTTAATAAGCTAATCCCCATAAATAAATATGATACTAATGTATTAATTTTAATAAGAGTGTTTGCATAATAAAAAGTAGCCTGAAGAAGAAAGTGACTTACCTGAGGGGGAGAATTGCTAATAGTTAAACTTCAGGCCCCTGAGCTGTTGTTTTGAGATCAAACTGGCTTTTTGGAGCCTCTCAGACTACGCCATAGAACTTTTATGGCATAGGTAATATAGACTCTGATTAATTTAAAATATATTAAGGCAATGGGATTAATAGATAAGCATTACCATATGTGAAATAAACAACAAGGACCTACTGTACAGTCCAGGGAACTATATTCAATTTCTTGTAATGAGCTGTGTGTAATGGAAAAGAATCTGAAAAATATATGTGTGTATGTGTATAACTGAATTGCTTTGCTGTACACATGAAACTAACACTGTGAATCGACTACACCTCAATAAAAAATAAGAATTAAAATATATTAAGCCAGTGGGAAACAGTCTTTGCATGTTAGAGCACGTAGGTTTGAAATCACAATTATTAAGTGCGGTGTGTCTTTCTCACGGAAGTGAGATTGAGTCCTAATCCCTGGACTTTGCTTGTTAGTCTCATTCCCCAGGTAGCTTTCCCACCTACTCTTATTTCTTCTATTCTTTTTTTTTTCTTTTTTCAATTGCTCCCTCGCCCTGGATTTTTCTCTGCCTTCACGTAAAAGAGCACTATAATTTTATTTTTCCTTTACTTTAGGAAATGCCACCATAAAACAGTCTCGATACAGGATTATCATCCAAGAAGCAGCCAACGGAGGCCAAGAATGCCCAGATACCTTATTCGAAGAGCGAGAGTGTGAAGATGTCTCGTTGTGCCCCGTGTATCGGTAATTAATCACCTTTTAAAATAATCCTTAGACCTCAGCATAGCTCATGACCTATTTTCTTTCACACAAGATATGGTTACTATATGAAATATTCATAGTGAGAAATAAAAAGAGGTAATCTTGTTTATTGTCAAGTACCTCACTGTTTCCCCCTCTTATCTTGAATGTATTTTGAGAGAGTAAAGACTATGAAAGTCTAATTAACAGGAAAAAAAAAAACCAAAACCATGGTTTGACTGTAATTGAGCTGCTGGAGTTCTGCCACCAGGCAATTAATTTTCAGGATCAGAATCCAGAGAGATTCAGGATGAGGTCCTTACCTGGAAAACACACACATGCACGCACGCACATGCACACGCACACACACACACTCCTTACCTCATTCTGTTGTTCTCATCCTAAAGCTTTTAATCAAGAACCAAGGACAGATTTGAACTTCTTTAATAATTGCTTATTTTAATTCAAAAATGGTTTTGGTTCTCAATTTTAATCATGCACATATTTTAAGAAATCTTAGAAAAAAAAAGTTTAAGTTATGGATAATATTTTTTTTTAGAAAAGAAGATGAGTAGTTTTTAAAATACATATGTTCCCTTTTGGCAAGTTGGTGATTATTATTTATAAACACAATACCTTTGTGTGCTTTGTCATTAACTTCCATTCTTTCAACATTGGATTGAAACATCACTTTAAAGTACTTTTGGATTAAATTTAATCACTACTGGGATTTGCTGATTTCAAAAATGTCTAATGTTTCTCCTGATTATTTGAGAAACTGTATGTTAAAGCTGTGGAATTCAAGGGCTAATTTACTCAGCTAATTTACTTTTGGTTTTTCGGGGTTTTTTTTTTCCAAGAAGAATTTCCGTCAACTAAAGTTTAGAATGTCATTGAAGATGTCCAAATTATTATCAGTTTCATCCTTCTTTCCTCCCATTGTTTCTATATGATGACCAGTTTGTAGAGGAGTTGAACAAACCCTGGAATAAACCCAGACGACCAGTTTTTCCATCAACCACAGGGCCATTGTAAGAAGACTGTCAGTATCCACCTTTTTGTGCCACATGTAAATAATGGAAACTTGCGAGCCCAGCAGAAGAGCTCTCAGGGAAAGTAGCCCGTTGAAAACATTTAGTCAAATCAAATATTATTAGACATTTTTTTATGAACACAGTGCCGTTATAATCAGAGAAAATCCTAGAAACTGTTTGTGGGCTCTTTCTGTTGTCTACTCTCTTTACTCTCCGGTTGTACTTCAATTTAACCATTCATGTTTGAAATAGTTTCCCCTAGTGATCTCTTGCCGTTTTTCCCAGAGATCAGTTCCACTGTGCGTGGACTGGAGCATTGTATCGTTTCTCCAGATGTGTTTAGTATGTGTCCAAGTTATCAGCACGATTCTCTGCATTTTAGTAAAGCGTGCTTACGTTCTGAGCAATACGGTGCCAAGTTAGATTTTGCTTTCCCCTCATGGTATGTTAGGAAGGCAAGTTAATGTAAACCTTTATCATTTTCTTCTGATTCGTCTCTCTTACTCCCTTAAAATGAGATATTCACAGGTTTACTGAGCTAAAGCTGAATCC